CATACAAGCCACAGCCATCCATGGATGGGCGTGTCGGTGACTACCAGAACTCGGCTGGAACTGAGCAGAAAATGTTGCAGATTTCTGTCAGTGGCTTCGAGGACAACAGCAGTGTCTCTTCGACTAGCAAGAGAATGTCTCGTCTTCCTGTTGGTGACCTTAGCGATTACCGTCTTAAGCCCCAGGCTGAGCAGAGAAAGATCTTGCGGGCCGTTGATGGCAATGGTGACTACGGCTTTCGTCCCACGGACCCCAGTGATAATGTACGCACGATGAAGGAGTTACTGGCGCTTTCCCTTACTCGCCACGAACAGAAAAACAAACGGGACACCAAGTCAGACAATGTAAACGGAAACAATCTTGCTGCCAAAGACAAGGCCGGCACTCGTGGCCGCCCTGCGACTTCGATTCTCAGCCAGGAATACAGCGATTCGGATCAGACTTCAGGAAGCAATGCTATTGCTCCTTCTTTCCAATCGCCTCTTCCCTCGACCCAGTCGCAGTCGACGCAGTCGGACGATGCCGAGGAGTCGCGTGAGAAAATCCTGTTCAAGGGTCGACAGAATATGACACGCAACAGGTGCGTGCTTCTACTTGCTGGTCTCTTCCTTTTGTGGTCGGAGCTAATGATGGAGACTGACTGCAGCAAACACAGTGGAGCCATGACATTCGTCAAGAAGCCTACCAGCGGTGCTTGTGCGCTTCCTGGTGCTATGAGCTCTACCACCGCTCACGGTCTTCTTCCTCACTATGCTGGCTCTGCCGCCGCCTCTTTGTCGCCTTCTGCGGGCAACAGCTCGCCCTCGACTTCTGCGATGCGAGCTTCGGGACTCAGATCTGCCGAAGGTGGACGGCAGGATCAAGGTTCCAAAGGTGCCTCTAAGGAGACGAAGGATGAGAATAAACCTTTCCATGATGGTAAGCAAAGTCATGGATGGGTCAAACACGCCAGAAATGAAGATAATAAGCTGACAACACATTAGAAGCTTGACCAAGGAGAATGACTTAGTACATATCCTGTCAAAATTACCCGTCACAACTCTGGTACAACTTCTTCCTCTGCTCTTTGCCACGCGACATTACATTGTTTACTTGCCCGAAATCTCTTTCCAACAACCGGACTTGCATCTGGTTCCGTTGGTTTTTATTGCTTAGCTGAGGCATACTTTCGACACTACTCAATGGCGACGAAAAAAGTCTTATGTGGCTGCCTCGGGGTGTGCACCATGAGCCTCATACACCTCCACATGACCCACGACGGTGCTTCCCACTCCTGTGGCGTCGCATTTCTCTGCACTAGGATTGTTCTTGTGGCCAGGGTGGCAGGTGTTCAATGGTGCTGCCCATGTATGGATTATTTAGGTGTCTTTGCAATGAGCCGAGGCAATCATCGCTCTGGGAAAGGTCGTCTTGGGCGGTCAGTTCAGGAACGTTTGCTTATGCTACGAATATGAGATTGGATGGCTGGAATGGAACTGGAGGTAGGGACAGATAACAACCAGGTGGCGAGGTAGCGTAGCCCTTTACAAAAGTGGCAGGCTCCTCGTCCACTGGACCACGTTCATGACCACTGTCAAGATAGTTTCCGGTCTTAGCTAGCTCTTTTGCAGTTATACAGTTTCGGCTCACTTTCATGTGTCATCAACCACGCCATCATGTTGATAGCCGGATGTGTACAGCCGCATGACATGATGTGTATGTTCTATTCTTTCTGACTATTTAACGGTCGGCTTGATAGTAGTGGTCGGAAGCCGAGGCAATGTGCCTCGCGTTCAAATTTTCGACCTCATTGCAGAACTAGGTGAAAGTCTTCATGCGAGAGCAGATGAGTGGTTATCCTGAAAACAGGTCTCCCCGCTGGTTTTAGTCTCCGCCAGTCGTATACCTCGAAAACCATGGACTTGGTGGTTGACGCGGAGATATTCTAGCGTGCGATGATGAGAGAAAGAAAATGGCACAACCTACCGTGAGCTCGTTGGTGGTCCTCTAAGTTCTTGAAAAGAACGACCTTGGTCCTGTGAGCTTGCTGCGTTCCATGTCAAGTTAGTCAAGCATGATTGTGTAGCAAAAGGAGGATATCCTCATATCATGTCACGCGATGGGGGTTCGTGAAGGACTCCTCCGCCCCGGCTGTTCTCCCTTGCCCTTTGCCTCCCCCAAGATGGGAGAGGAGAGACGGCGAAGAAAAGAGGCAGCAGGGGCAGTGGAGTTGGACTTCGGGAGGACCTCCCATGGAGCGAGTCACTGCGAAGTGAAACGGCCATAGAGAAAAACGAGTTTCTCGATTTGTTGGATTTGTTTTGTTGTTCCTGTGCTACCCTGCGCGCACCTCCCCACCTTGGTCGCGCCCCCCCTTCCAAAAAGTGTGTGTCTTCGTGGTTGAATTCCTCATGCCGAATTTCTGCGCTTCTGCTTTTGTTCCCCATTGCCGAACCGTCGAAAAAGAGGAAGAAAAGACGGTGAGTTGTTAAACGCCGGATTGAAAGGGAAAATGGTCATGATCGAGAAGACAAGAACAAGAATCGTTGTCGTTATTCGAAGGGTGTGTTCCCAATGAGGAAAAGAGAGATTCCGTTTCCGAAAAGCAAAAAGACTTCTCCCCATGTTGTCTGGAAACACATGCCCTCAGCGTGAACGCCTCCCCACAAGCAGACCGAGGGAGCCGTGGATGCGGGGAAGAGCACGTTTGCGACAGCAGCGAGCATGCCACAGGGTATCGTCAGGTGTGGAGGTGGTCAGAGCCCCAGGTCGAGTCCAAGGAAGGAAGACGCTTAGGCGTCGGCCTTGCCCTTGGCGCTGGCCTCGCGGCCGCGCTTGATGCGCTCGAGGATGGACTCACGGTCCTTGTCGAGCTTGAGCTTGTTGACAACGACCTTGGAGGGGTGGATGCCGATGGGGACGGACTGGCCGGAGGTCTTCTCGCGGGTGACGCGCTCGATGTGGATGACGTACTTCAGGCGGTAGACGGCGGTGACCTTGCCCTCACGGCCCTTGTTGGCACCACGGACGATGGTGACCTCGTCGTCCTTGCGGATGGGGATGGAGCGAGCCTGGGGGACCATGTTAGCGGGTTGGCACACGACAGGTGGCCGGGAGGCTACGAGAACGTACGTTGTACTTCTCACGGAGCTCCTTGGAGAGAGGGGCGCTCATGATGGTGCGGCGGTCGCTGGAGGGAGCGCTGAAGTGCGCAGCGCGCGACTTGCGGCGGGAAGAGTGAAGGACTGGCGGGACGGTCAGCTCGAATTCGGAGAGATTGCTGCGTTACTGGCTCTCTGGTACATACGCTTGTTGACCTTGGCCATTGTGACGGTTAGTATGGGCGACCTGGGGGTGGTTGATGGAATCGTGATGATTGTCGTGAGGCTCGCTGGTTCTTCAGAAAGTTCGCAGACGGGACTGTGGGCGAAAAGTTTTGGCATTGGGGGAGTTCGACGGCTGCCCTAGGTGTGCACGTGATCTCGTCAAGGCTCGGAGGCACCCCACTTCCTTCAGGGTGCTTAGATAAGGTGCTGTGGTGGAGCAAGAGGAAACGCAAAGGGACCCACTAAAACTTCACTCGCCGATCCAGCGGGTCCAACTCAAACGCCGACGCCGTACGGCGTTGCACATCTGATGATGGCCAGACTTCGGAGCAGCAGACCAGCTCTCACCACCTAACGTCTCAGTAAACCGCGAAAATGAACGCCTTCCCCCGGATACCACAGCGCATAGCGCAAGCCTCCCGACAATGGAGCTGCTCCTTGTGCCAGCATGCTCGCCCGCAGACAATCCGCACGCCCCGAATGCCTGGCGGCGCCCGCAACGCATCGAGTTCCTCGCAGCAGCAGCAGTCACAGCAGCAGCGCTACACGCCGTCAATGGCGCAGGTCAACGCCCACTACAGGAGGAAGAATGCCACAGTAGCGTATGGAGAGCCAGCCCAGCGCAATGGAGCGCCAGCCGGGCTGTCGATGCTGACACTCCGACCAGATACTACACCCTCAGCATTATCCTCGGCACCGTCGCCTTCTCCTACGGCTCCGTGCCCCTCTACAAGATGGTAAGGCTCCCGCGGCGTCCTGATTCCGACAATACGAAAGGAAGAGAGACTGACAGCAGCACCCCAGATCTGCCAAACCACCGGCTGGGGCGGCCAGCCCGTGCGCGCCCACGGGCCCGACTCGACCTACGACGACGCGGACCTCGCGGCGCGCCTCGTGCCGCTGACGTCGTCGCCGCGCATCCGCGTCACCTTCAACGCCTCCGTCTCGGACGTGCTCCCCTGGAAGTTCACGCCGCAGCAGCGCGAGGTCCGCGTGCTCCCCGGCGAGACGGCCCTCGCCTTCTACACGGCGACGAACAACTCGGACCGCGACATCATCGGCGTCGCCACGTACAGCGTCACGCCCGCCCAGGTGGCGCCCTACTTTAGCAAGATTCAGTGCTTCTGCTTCGAGGAGCAGCGCCTCAACGCCGGCGAGACGGTCGACATGCCCGTCTTCTTCTACCTCGACCCGGACATGGTCAATGACCTCAACGCCAAGGGCATCGAGACTGTGACGCTGTCGTACACGTTCTTCAGTGAGTTTCTTCTTTCTCTTTCCCTTCGTACCCGTGCGAGAGAGAGACAGGCTGACTTTGTGCAGAAGCAAAGTACGACGACAATGGGGTGTACAAGGCGCCGTCGGCCTTCCCAGGGCTCGAGGGACCAGCACCGCGGAAGATTGCAGCCTGAGAGGCTATGGACTATGGGGATGAAGTTGATGAGCATGCTGCATATCAGTGTACAGTTGTATCATAGCATTGATCAAAATAGACGCCGCACCGTAGGTGATGGCCGGGCAAGTCACTTTATGGTCCCATTTGACTGCCTGTATACTTCAATATGGACTATATTTCCAACATTCCAATTTCCAATAACGCCCGCTTTGAGACGATTCAGATCTATGTACGGCTGCTTTCCTTCCTCGACTACATCTCACAGCTCCCAAGCGAACATCTTCCGCGCATCACAACTATTAGTGCGCCTTGCCGTTCTTCAACGTCCTGCGCACGTTTTCCACCTTCGGGCCTATCCTTCCCCGGACAGCACCCCAACCCGCCTCCAGGACCTGCACCACAAGCACCTGCACAATCAGGATCAAGACGCGCAGGAGCAAGTCAGCAAGCCCGAGGACAGGCCGGCGTCCACGGCTGTAAGTCGAGTCGACAAACTGGAACGGCAGACGCGCGTGCAGGTGGTCCTGGGCGGCGGCAAGACCGCTGCTGAAACCGTCCTCGTGGAAGCCATACTTTGTCCAGGCGCCGGCGTAGCTGATGCCGCGCGTGTTCTGGATACGCGGCAGCAGGCGCTGGGCACGGACTGCCTCGGGAGTGTACAGGGGATGGCGGTAGGTGAAGGAGGCCTGCGTCTTGGCTGGGTCGGGTTCGTGGAGGGGGTTCATCGTGACAAGGACGTCGCCGAAAGTCGAGGTCGGTATGTGCTGGAGGATATTCATGTTATAGGTGAGTGAGATCTGGTCGATATTCTGCTTGCCGGTAGCCGGCGACGAGAGGGTCAGGTAATTCCAGCTGGTCCAGGCCTTGCGGGCAACGGGCATGAGAGAGAGGTCGGAATGGAGGACGACCTTGTTCTCGGAGGTATCAAAGGCGCCAAGGATAGATTTTTCCTCGTCGGTGGCCGTATCCTCAATGATCCTGTAGGCTTGATCGGCGTGAGTGGCCAGGATGACGTGGTCGTAGACGTCCGAGTCGCCGTTGGGCAGGTGGACGCGGACACGGCCGTCGTCTTCGTTTGTGACGCTCGTGACGGGGCTGTTAAGGTGAAGATGGTTCGAGGGGAAGCCCCTCATGACGGCGTCGATGTACGACTTGCCGCAATCCTTGAGGGTCAGCCAGTCCGGGCGCGTTGCGACAGTTGACAGGAGGTGATGGTTCCACCTGCAGCGTTGTCAGTGGCGGCGAGGCATTGTCCGTGTTCGGGCGAGGACCTACATGAACCGTACGAGGGTGACGGCGGGGAAGTCGAGCGTGCACTTGTCGGGGCTGGTACTCCAGACGGCGGCCGTCATGGGGATGAGATAGTCGTCCCGGAAGGCGTCCGAGTAGCGTTCGCGCTCGAGGTACTCGCCAATGGTCTCCTCGGGTCCGGCCCCGTGGCCATAGGCGTGGCTGTGGCCGTTCATGGCGGCGGCATCGTTGACGTCGTCGCCGGTGATGAGCAGGTCAAGGGCGAACTGGTTGAAGCGCACAATGTCGAAGATCATGCGCCACATGCGCGGGGAGAAGAGGTTCTTGCGCTGGCAGAAGACGGCGTCGAGGCTGGTGCCGGCCCATTCAAAGAGGCCTCGATCTCTGGTGACGCCAAAGGTCATTTCTGTCGGGACGGTATCGACTTTGACGCGCTTGAGGAAGTTGATAAAGTTGGCTTGCCGTGTTAGTCGAGGGGAGCTGAGGGCGGGAGAAGTCGAGGGGAGCCGAGAGCGAGAGAAGCCAGGGGCGAGAGAAGCCGGGGGCGAGAGAAAGGGAGAGGCTCACGATAGGTGGCAGTGTTGAGGACGATGAAGCCCGTATCGACGCTCGTCTCAAACTTGCCGTTGGTCCATTTGACCGTGTTGGTGTGACCGCCTAGGCGGCCGGCGGCCTCGTAGAGGTGAACATCGTGGTGGCTGCGGTTGAGTGCCCAGAGGGCGGCGATGCCGGAGCAGCCGCTGCCGACGACGGCGACCTTTTTCCTGAGGTTGACGTCAATGGGGGCGCCCGTCGAGAGGACCGATGCCCGCGAACCCGGCCGTCGGTGTGAGTAGACATGTGAGGAGTGGTTGCTCGAGTTGGAGTGGGAGTGAGAGTGGGACATGGCGGGGGGGATGCAGGAGGGGATCGGAGGTTGGTCAGGACATGGGGGGGTAAAGGTGCGAGGAGAGGCTCAAGGGAAGGTTTTGGATGTTTAATACATTGACTGTGACATGTGAAAGCAAGATGGTAAATGCAGAGAATGGGGGTGGCGGGAAGAATGTGTGTGTGTGCCAACGTGGGAATGTGAGACATGGACACTCTGAGTAGATGCTGGCAGCTTAAGTGCTGCAAGGCTGGCCACTGGCTTTCTGATGCTAACGTGTAGCTTGACCATTTGGCTGGCCAGACCGGCGCTCGCTGGTGTGGTACATACAGCAGCGCAAGCTCAGGTAGGTGCATGGCAGCTAGCGCGACAGAGATCTGAGGGGATGGGATGCATGCTGATCTGGAGGGAAGGAGACCGGTCTTGGCTCGATGAACGTACAGGTCTGATTTGTCGGCCATGGTGGCGTACAGGAGCGACTGCTTTCTACTGGCGCTGCAGGGGAGGTGCTCAAGGTGCTGTACCTAGTGAGAGGTGCCTGCCACACTAACAAGTCCAAGGTGTTGGTTAGGGGATTGGCTGCAGAGGCGGGAAACTGCGAACGTCTGAGGTCATGGTGATGCGATGAGACAAGAGCACCGAGAGCAGGAGCGAGCAAGGAGTAGCAGCAAAAGCGACAGCAGCAGCGACGACGACGGCAGGACCATGCCATGCCGTCCCGTCCCGTCCCTTCCAGCTCGCGCTCGGTCAGTGACGCTTACATTTGAGACCGTCCCACTCTGGGGGGGCTGAACTTGGATCCTCAGCCACGGAGGCGCAGATGCTGACTACACATCTCAGGTTACGTCTTGGTCGTTCAAGGGCACGAGGTGAAGGGTTTGCACATGGCAGCATTCGATGGATCGCCAGCTTTGCGTTCAGATATTCAGGACGCAGCATGGCTCCATTCGACGCGGCGAACAGGTGGCACGTAGCAAACACAACATATCGAAACTCGCACTCTGCTCCTGAGACAAGAGACAAAGCATGTCGAGCACTCAACGGGATCGAGAGACGTGGTGAACGAGTCCCCCAATTCTTAAAAGCGACGTATCAGCAAAGGATAATTCTTCTGCCCGGTTCTGTTCAACTCCACGCGCACCGAGCGCCGTCTCCCCGAAGGAAGCGCAGCGATCCCTATTCGTGGGGCCTATTTCTTCGCCGGGGGTTCAACTTTGAAGAAGAAAAGGAGAGAAAAGTCGAAAGAGCGCAGAGGCGGCCGCCGAATAAATGCATCTCGTGAGGTCACGTGCATAGTGCTCCACCCTCCGCGGCTGCGCTTCGCCATGGACGACCCACCCTTCTTTGCCGCTCCAGCCATATGCAGTGATCGCTGTACGACGAGACGACGTCTAGCCATCCATCCATCCATCCATCCAGGCACCGAACATCCATCTCGACAACCCGTCAACCATCCGCCCACCTCGTCAATTCCATCAGCGACCTGCCTGCCTTTCATTTCCGACCTGGTCGGATACATCCTGAGCGTCCACCCACCATGGCCTCCCACCTCGACACCGAAGCCGGCACCGAGCGCTTCGCCGACTACGAGGCCGAGCTCAAGCTCGTGCAGGCCGACCTCGCGCAGAAGCTCGACCAGATCCCCGAGCTCAGCGGCGAGCCGCGCAAGGCGGCCATCTCGGCCGCCGAACGCGCCGTCGAAGAGGCCGACGAGCTCCTCGGCCAGCTGCGCCTCGAAAAGGCCAACATCCCCTCGCCGCACCGCGCCAAGACGAACGCCCGGTTCCGCAACCACGAGTCGGACGTCGACGCCGCGCGCCGCCGCCTGCGCGCCCTCTCCGACGACCGCGCCGCCCTCTTCGGCGCCCGCTACACCGACGACCCCGCAGGCCCCGGCGGCGGGCCCTCGGACCGCAACCTCGCCCAGCGCCAGCAGCTCCTCAGCGGCTCCGACCGCCTCGACCGCTCCACCCAGCGCCTCAAGAACAGCCAGGCCCTCGCCAACGAGACCGAGGCCATTGGCGCCAGCACCCTCGCCGACCTCCACCGCCAGCGCGAGACCATCCAGCACACCCACGAGACGCTGCTGCAGAGCGAGGGCTATGTCGACCGCAGTGTCAAGACGCTGCGCGGCATGGCGCGTAGGTGAGCCTTCTATTTTCCTTGTTGCATGTCCGTCTGGCTGGTGTCGGCCATGCTGTAGTGGGCGTGTTGGAGTGGACATGTTGAAGTGGGCACGTTGGAGTGGTTCGTGTCAAGAATAGCGCTGACGGCCCGCAGGATGGCTACAAATCGGGTAATCACCATTGCCATCATCACCATTCTCGTCCTTCTCATCGTTGCTGTCATTTTCAGCAAGTTCAGGTAGACAGAGCAGAGAGAGCAGAGAGAGGGAGAGGGAGAGAGAAGGAAGCAGCACGCACGGCGTCTTGGGAGTTCTCTTTAGTTTTTTCTTTCTATTTCATTCTATTCGTCTTTTTTGGTTGGGTCGGCTCTGTTCATTTTGCGTCGTGCTTGATTTTTGTTCCTCCGTCTCAGTGTGTGATGCCAGTTGCATCACTCTGACGGCACGACAGTACATAATGCAAACCATGCTTCCACATGCTGCGTCACGGCCCATTGGTGTGACCCTGTCATCGCTTTGGTCATGTCTGCGGACTCTTCAGACTGTAACAAACGCCTTCAAACGCCTTCGTAGCGACCATGTCATGCTGCATAGTCATGCCATCTCACTGTCAGGATCACGACAGCCACATCGACACAAGAGCATAGCAAAGATCTTTCATTCCGTACGCCTAATCATGCCGCAATCAAATCTAAATCGTTTCTGGCCCGGACAGCCATGGGGTATAGTCTGCACACCAATCCCACGCCTGCTGCCGAGGCAGGCCACACGTCCCACGCTCGGTCCGCCTCTCTCTCTCTCTCTCTCTCTCCCTCCCTCTCTATCTCCGGCCGCGCGGCGACTTTTGGATACCACCACGCGGTCCGCCGCCGCCGCCGCCGCCACGACCACCACCACCACCACCGAAGCCGCCTCGCCGCCTGTCCTCTCCCAGTCCGCGACGTCCGGAAGCAATGCCACCACGACCGCCGCGACCGCCAGGACCTCCACGTCCGCGTCCACCGCCAAAGCCACGGCCTCCACCGCCGCCACCGCCGCGGCCTCCGCCGCCGCGACCGAATCCGCCACGGCCCCGCGCGACGTGCGCCTTGACAGCGTGCGCCGTGCCCTCGTCCATGTCCTCATCCATTTCGTCGTCGTGCTGGTCCTTGCGGTTCTTGTTGCTGAACTTGAGCTTTCCACCGCGTCCCCGCTGCGCGACGTCCTTGCCCTTGAGCGCCGCAACGTAGGCACCCACGCCCGAGGCGTCAGGGTTGTCGACGTCCATGGCGCCGCCGGCCTCGTTGTCGTCGTCGTCGCGGCCGAGGATGAGCTTGCCATCGAGGTCGACCTTGGCCTTGGAGCGGCTCGGCTTGCGCGCCTTGACCGGCTTGGTCGACGAGATGCTGGCGAGCGCGTTGCGGTCGAGCAGGTCGAGCGGCTCGTCCTCGTCCTCGACAATGTAGGCGCTGCCCCGTCCCTTGACCTTGCGCGCGTTGGCGCCACGCGCGAACCGGCTGCCGCCGTTGTCGTCGTCGTCGTCCGAGGGGCCGTCGTCGTCCGAGTCGCTGCTGTACAGCGCCTCGTCGTACTCGTTGTCGAACTTGCGCGCCTGCTTGCCGCCGGCCTGCTCGTCGTCGCTGTCGGCGTCCTCGCCGGCCTCGCGCGCCGCGTCCTTCTTGCGCTTGTTGCGCGCCTTGGTCTTGCGAATGTTGGCCAGCAGCTTCCGGTCGTCCTCGGGGCAGTACCTGTTGACGAGGTCAAAGCCGAAGCGCCGCACCATGCGCTCGAGGATGTGCTTGACCTTGCTCTTGAAGTGGCCCTTGTGCTCGTGCGACCAGATGATGAGGTTCGGCGTCAGCGTCTGCAGGCGCGGGATCATCATCTCGGTCGGCAGGCCGACGACGCAAATCTTGACGAAGCCGAGCACCGACTTGACAATCTCGCGGTTGTTCGACGTCAGGAAGAGGTCCATCGTCGCCACGAGATCGGCGAGCGTCTGCTGGTTGAGCAGCGGGCGGAACTCGTACAGGACGCGGCTCAGCGCCGTGACCGAGGCCGAGATCATGTGCGGTGTGCTGCCGACGAGACCGGCCGACACCATGGTGAGGTACTCCTCCATGTTGGCCGTGCCGGCGGGGGCGTCGCTGGGCATGTGCGGCACCTTGGCGTTGTCAATGGTGGCGCCGTCGGCGGCGGCCATGCGCTCGCCCATCTCGACGAGGAGGCCGTAGGCCGCCTCGCGCGCGCGCTCGTTGTTCTCCTTGCAGCAGATGACGACCTCGCTGAGGATCGACGGGATGAAGTGCAGCGACGTGTCGGGGACGAACGGCAGCAGCGCCGAGAGCGCGGCGAGACGCTCGCGACGCGCCGGCGCCGACACCTTGTCGGCGCTGGCGATGAACATGGCCTGCAGCTCCGACGTGCGCGCCTCGAGGGCGGCGCGGCCCGTCGCGGACTCGGCGAGGCGCGGGATCAGCTTGTAGGCCTTCTTCTGCAGCTGCGGCTGGTCCTGGCGGACGATGGTGACCGAGGCCATCTCGAAGAGGGCGGCGAAGCTGTCGCGCGGCAGATAGACGGACATGGTGATGATGAGGTCCATGAGCGTGTTGGTCGTCGAGGGCGCCTGGTCCTGGCCTTGCTTCTTCTGCGGCGCGGCGGCGCCCTTCTCGGCGGCGTCGGGCGCCTTCTGCAGCTCGGCGGCGAGCAGGGCGCTGACGCGGTCGAAGGTCTCGCGGAGCTCGGCGGCGGGGGTGATGCTGAGGAAGGCGTTGATCGACAGCAGGATGGGGCCGCGGCTCTGCGGCAGCGTCTGGGTGTAGACGTTGAAGAGCACGGCGAGCATGTTGCCGGCGTAGGTGCCGAGGTACGCGAGGTTGGCGCGGGCCGTCTCGCGGGGCACGCGGCTCTGGCGGACCATGTCGTCGGCGGCGTCCTCGAGCTCGGCGATGGCCTGGTTGGACTCGATGAGGGTCTTGAGGGCGCGGCAGACCTCGAGGCGCAGCTCGACCTGCTTGTACAGCAGGTTGGCGAGCAGCTCGGCGAAGCTCTGGTCAAAGGCGGCGGCCAGGTCGAGGGGCAGGTCGCAGTAGCCGGGCAGCGTGGCCCAGATCTGCTGGACGAGCGTCTCGTAGATCTTGACCTCCATCGTCTTGGCGGCCTCGCCGTGGTCGAGGACGCGCTGGAACATGAGCTCGCTGAGGGGCACCATCTCGGCGCGGAAGTGGGCGAGGTGGGTGTTGCTGACGTAGTCGCGCAGCAGCGGGAACATCCAGGCGCGGCCGGGCTGGCCCTGGGCGGGGGTGGCGAGGTTCAGGGGCAGGACGGAGAGCACAGCGTCGGGGCCGACGGCGCGGATGGCGCGGCCGATGACCTCGTCGGCCTCCTTCTTGCCGCCGAAGGCGTCGTTGCTGCGGAGGTCGCCGACGGCCCGGAGGATGGTCAGCATGGCGGGGTTGGCGCGCCAGCGGAGCGTGTCGAACATGGCGCCGAAGACGTGGAAGCTCTCGGGCCAGGCGGCCTGGTACTTGACGCTGAGCAGCGTCTCGGCCGCCTTGGCCACCTTGTCGAGCGTCTTCTCGTCGTAGACGGAGGGCTCGATGATGACAGAGGCGGGGACGCAGTTGGCGAGGAAGGAGACGAGGCACTCGGAGGCGGAGATGCGAATGTTGTGGGAGGGGGACTCGAGGAAGGCGAGGACCATGGTGAACAGGTCGGGCAGGTTCTGGAAGGTGTCCTCGGGCTCGAGCTGGGCCGAGACGTCGTAGCCGCGCGACAGGATGGCGAGCCAGGGGGGGATGAGCTGGGTGTCGTTGGCGGCGGGCCGCAGCTCGGAGATGATCTCGATGAGGCGCGGCAGCTTGGAGGACGCGGCGGCGTCGTCGGCCGCCATGCCGGCAAAGATCATCTCGAAGATGTCAAAGGTGGCCACGGTCATGTATTCGCCGCCGGAGCGGGCGATGCCGAGGAGCAGCTCGCAGAGGCTCTCGATCTTGTTGCTGGGCCAGCCACCGCTCGCCGAGGCGATCGTCTTGACGAGCTGCAGGGCGTGGAGCAGGGCCGGGTCGTGCTGGGACTCGGCCGAGGCCTTCTTCTGGGTCTTGCGGGCCTGGGTGGCCTTGGCGGCGAGGTCCTCGAGGGTGGCGAGGGCCGTGTGGGCGCACATGTCGGCGGCCGGGTGGTCGAGGGACGGGCTCGGCGGCGGGTTGGTGAGGACCTTCTTCAGGGCGTCCTGGGCGCGCTTGCGGATCTTGGGCTTGGGGTCTTGGGCGAGGTTCAGCAGGCCGGCGACGGCACGGCGGGGGCCGATCTGGGTGACGCCGAGATCCCAGGCAGGGAGGTCCTGGGCGAGCAGCAGCGACTCGAGGCAGCCGATGGAGGCGCGCAGCAGCATGGCCTCGGCATCCTGGAGCAGCAGGATGGGGGCGAGGAGGGTGAGGATCTGGGTGAACTTGGAGCGCAGCAGAGGCTGCGGTGCGTACGGTGTGACGACGTCGAGGAGGTAGACGACGGACGAGGTCGTCTCCGAGTTGATGCTGCCGCTCTCGATGGACTGGCTGAGGAGCCCGAGCAGGGCGGCGAAGTAGCCCGTGGGGGATGGGGGCGTGTTCTGTTCTTTGAGGGTCGCATCGACGGCTTGGAGAACGACGACTCTCTGTTGAAGAAGGCTGTTAGCAGATGTTGCCATCTCGGGATCAAATCGTCGGGCTCGAAGGCCACACAGTACCCTCTGCTGGCTCTGCAGACCCGGCGAGCGGATCTTGTCGAGCTTGTCGTCGAGTGTCGGGGTAGCCATGGTGCTGGCCATGCTGGGTATATGTAGATTTTCTTTTTTATGTTGGTGCCAGCGTGCGCAGTCGACAGGGCGGCGTCTTGGACATCCGACGCGGGACTCGGGACGCTGCGGAGGGAGGGGGGGGGAGGGAGGTGAGGAGGGGTTGGTTTGTTGAGGGGGAGTCTTGTCTCGTCTGGACCCGACTCGACTCAAAACTGGTAATGGGCGGACGTCGTCTCGGTGAGCGTCTCGATCCTGCTGCGTCGTTGGGGCCTGGGTCGTGCCTCCCGATTTTTTTCCTCCGAGAAAAATCCTTATCGCAACACCCCGCCCCGATAAGGGCCCATACAGTGCGTGCAATAGCCACATCATTCACACTGTCTCTGCCTCCACTCTTGGCTTCCAACTCGGCTTCCACATCACAGAACGAACGCGCCTATGCTTCACATACTATACGTGCATCTCATTGCTCATATTGGCTTCCAACTTGGCTTCCACATCACTGAACGAACGGGCATATGCTTCACAGAACGAACGGGCCTATGCTTCACATACTTCCATACATCTCATTGCTCATCATAGTTCCTACAGATACAAACACCGACCCCAACGCCCCCAGTGACGCCTTCCTCGACGTTTACACCTCCGTCTCGACGTCGGGCTTCCGTCCGTCGAGCGCCCCCAGCTTCTTCACCTTTCTCATGGCGAACAGCGCCTCGTTCTTAGCAAACTGCATGTTCCTCACCGGCCGCCACTGCATCAGACCCCGGTGCTTCCGGTGCAGGTCGCGGCTGTGGTCCTTGTACTCCTTGTACGCGTCCAGCGGGCTGTTGCTCTTGGACGCCCGCTCGTGCAGCTGGCTGTCCGTCGTCCGCGTCGTGTCGCCCGACGGCCGCGTGCCCGCCGATGACCGACGTGGGTCGCTCGAGCCCGACGTGACCCCGCCCTCGTTCGACCCCCCGCGCGACAGCGTCTCGCCGTCCGAGATGCCGAGGTCGGGGTTGCTGTTGTCGTCGTCCTCGTCCGAGTTGCTGATGTCGTCGTGGTTCTCGTCATTGTTGAGGTCCACCTGGCTGCCGTCCATCATGTCCTTCGGGTCCGTCCCGAACGCCCCCGTCCAGTCCGTGCCGTCCTGGGCCAGCCACTTTTCCTTCTCCTTCTCGTCGGCCTGCGCGAGCACGTCGCGCCCGTGCGTCAGCGACTCATCGTGCAGCTTCTGAATCGCCGGCGGCACCTCGCTGTGCACCTCCTCCTGGCGTACGCCCTCGGCGAAGCACGCCTCCCACGTCTCGATCGTCTCGCGCGAGTTGTTGTCCGAGACAAACTTGATGTGGTCCCGATCCGTGCCCGCCGAGAACCGGCCCCGGAAGCGGAGGCGGCCGACCTCCTCCACCTTGAGCACCGGCACGTCCTTGAAGTTGTCCTGCGTGATGAAGTTCTGCGCGAGACGCGTGCCGTTGTCGCACTTCCAGATGGGCAGGTCAAAGTCGTGCTCCTCAAGGTCCACCAGCTCCTGCAGCCACAGCGATGCATACGCATCGGGGTGCCGCTTGCCGGCCGGGTAGAACTCGAAGAAGATGGGCGACCGGTAGCGGTAGCGGACCGGCAGCCGGATCTTGTCGTGCTTGTTCTCGCCGCTAATGTCCCAGTCCATGCCTTCGCCCTCGGTGTGCTTCGTGCACGCGTCGCGCTTGATCGACGCCGAGCTGCCACCGGTCCGGAGACGCACCTTGGTCTTGGACCGGCCGTAGCGCTCGGCCTTGATGTTGTTGCCCAGGAACTCAAATGTGCCAATGTCCCAGCCCATCTGGCTCGGCGGCAGCCTGAGCTCGCAGGACCGGAACAGCAGCGAGATGCGGATCCGGCCGAAGCCGATGCCGCCGTCGAGAGGGTACCAGCGCGTGGCCTCGCTGCCCGTCTGGAGAATGTCCGACACCTTGAGCGGCACGACACCGATGATGGGGTCGTGCTGCCTGTTGCGCGAGTCGCGGACGGCAACCGTGACGATGCAAGACTTCCAGTCGCGCACGAAGCGCTCGGTACCGGCATTGAAGATGGGATGCGACGACACGACCTTGGTGCGTGTCTTGTAGGCGAGCTCGTCGTTGATGAGAATGGTGCAGTATGAGCTCGGCAACTTCTTGCCCGACTCTTCCTTGACCTCGCCGGCCTCGGGACGCGCGGGCTCGAACTCGCGGCCCTTGCGGTTGCCCTGGGAGCCCGTAATGTTGGCGAGCTCGAGACCGACAATCTGGTGCACGACGATGCTGAGGATGCCCGAGGGCCACAGCGGGTCGGGGGGAGTGTGCACAACAGAGTCTTCCTCGGCCGTGTCGATGGCGCCCTTGTCGTCCTGCAGCTCCTTCTTGTCCTTGAGCTCCTTGGGGAGGTTGACATCACGGCCGTCAGTGCGGAGTGCCTTGCGGAACTGCGTCTTGCCAAAGTAGCCGACCTCCCATACCAGTTCGCCGGGCATCTCGCTCTCGGCCTTGACGCCGCGCAGTTTCGAGACCTGCGGGAACATCTTGCCGGGGTGCTGGATGAGCTTCTGGATGCTGAGCTCGACCTTGCCGACGACATCGTCGGCCGAAGCGCGGTCGCTGTCCCAGAGCTCGACAGAGAGCTGCTCGTCGGCCTTGATGAGATCGGCGGTGACAAGAAGACCACAGCTCTCTTCGAAGATGGGGTTGAGGTCGTCTTGAATGACACGCGTGCAGAATTGGGGCTTCCCAAACTTGCTCCACGCAATGGTGATGTACGGGTCCGATCCGCCGCCGTCGCTGCCACGTCTGTCCTGCTTGCTGAGGCCGGTGGCACGGTGGATACGGACGAAGAGGACGCCGAGGGCCTGGGTCTCCTTTTTGATGTCGTCGCCCTGGATCATCTTGCTCATGTCAAGGGTCATGCTCTTCGGCGCGACGTACATGGACGCCGCAGCACCGATGGCCCAGTTGACAAAGTTGGAAATGATGGGGAGGTTCAGAATGTTGACACCCTTTTCAATCATGGGCGTGCAGCCGGCTTGCACCTTGGGGACGCCCATGAGCGTGAAGGTCAAGGTCTTGAGGAAAGGAGGCTCAGGCACGAGCTGGAGGCGGATTCGTGCCGTTGCCACGAGGCCCTGCAGCTCGACCCAGATGGGCAGAGGGATGCCGATGAGGCCACGGACACCGAGGTAGAAGACAAGCTGCATGCCCATGTTGCGGGCCTTGGACGAGATGTCACCGCCGGACGGCTTCGCGTGATAGGCGATGGAGGCCTCGAGGTTGTAGTAGGAGCCAGCCTGCTCCATGGCGGCGAGCTCGTTGGGGTCGGTGTTCTTCTCGGTCTGCTTGCGCGTCTCCTCCTTGACGTCCTTCATGTGGTCGTCGGGCAGGGCGCGCAGGCTCAGGATGCGAATGGGGTTCGATCCCTGAGAGATATCGGCAACACGAACATTCTCGACGATGCCGGGAATGGAGGCCACCATGACGTCCTCGAGCGTGTCGGCAACACCGGCGAACATTTCAGGGTTGATGAGACCCCACATGATGCCCAGGGCTGTGTTCATCCACTGCGGTTTGTCAGGATTGCCAGGACTGTCAGGTGTATACCAAGACCAAAAGAAAGCAAGGGGCGGCCCCAACTCACCTCAACAGACTCAGGCACAAGGTTGACGGTGGCCGTCTCACCGCGCTCCTTCTCGCTCGACCACTCCACGTTGCGTCCCTGCTGAATGAGCTCGCGGCACCAGAGGTAGACACCGCTCGCAATGCAAACAGACAGGGGCATCAGCCCCCAGAGGCTGCCGCCGAAGAACTTGCCAATCAAGATGATGCCGAAGAAGATGGCGGCGCACATGACATTGGCGCGGGCCTCGAGGGCCTCGAACATGGGCTCGTAGCTGACACTGGGAGTCTTGTAGAAGAGGACATTGGTCTTCTCGCTGTGAATGGGCACGTCGGAGGTGCTGCCCGGCTCGACGGGGTCAGGCGGGGCCGTGATATCCTGGGCACGACGGTACTCTTCGCCCGACTGGTCTGAGGAGGTCGCGACGGTCGCTTCTTTGCCGAGGTTTTCGTTGGGAATGGAAATCTGTTGAAAGTGTTACGATGACGTCAGAGGATCTTGGGGTCGGGGCGGAGGAAAGGCACCTTGGGGTTTTCAACAGCCTCTTTGAAGTCCGTCTTGGCGTCCTCGATCTCTACATCTTTGCCGGTGACGGGGTCGCGAACAGTCTTGGTCTTCTTGTTCTTATGTAGGCGGTGCTTCTTCTCAGGAATATGGTCCAGGGTCTCACCCTTGGCCTTGTTGTTCTTGAGCTCGGCATCAATGGCAGCATCGCGCTCAGCCTTTTCCTTGTCAAGCTGGGCGACAAACTCCTGAATGTTGGGGATCCTGTTTCGGCCGCTGTAGTGCTGGCCGCCAACAGGCGGTTCGTGTTCCATGGCGGCGATGTCAATGGCCTCGGCTCATTAATACGACACGACACGATCGAGGGAGCCGGCAGATGGGGGGATCCAGAGGAGAAGAGAGAGGAGGGGAAAGCGGTCGAGGCAGGTTGATGAACCTGGAAGGGGTATAGGATGTTTAAAGAAGATCGAACAGCCCGGCACACGAGAGGAGAAGAGGAGGAACAGGTCCGGGAGGGGGAGGAAGGCTTCGTTGGGCGTATGCTCCTGCCTGGGTCTCTGCTTCAGCTTGCTGCTGCTCCTGGTTTTAGCGGTCGCTCATCTTGGTGCATTTGCAACTCCCGTCTCGATGGGATCGATGATCCAGGCCCCCCCCCCACCGCCGCCGCCGCAGAACCAAGCAGTAGCTTGTTTTCGTTTTCCCGGATCCCAGTCCAGGATTGCCATCATTACACATGCGTTGGTGCGTTCGGCGGGCGGCGACAGCGCAGTATGACGTCGTTGGCGAGCTCCTGTCCAACCTCACACTGCAGCTCCCTGGTGGGGTTGTGGTCTCGGCCCTAGCAGCCTCGATGTCCCCAGTACCAGGTCGTGTTGGCCCTTGCGGCGCCGGTGCGCCCTAGAAGCAGCCCCTCCCCAAAGTCCTCTGCACAAGCCTGTCGCTCGACGCAGAAGGGGGGGCCGGGGAGTGCAGCAGCTGGCACGCGCTAAACCGGTCGGATTGACAGCGCTAGACGACGCTCCGTAGCGCCTCACCCAATCCCTGCCATGATCCGATTCCCATTCCTCCCTCCCTCTCGTCGTCCTGGGTTCTTTTCAGCTGCTTTTCCTCCCCACACGCCGCAGACACTGCTTTCCCTTTCTAGGTAGGTACCAAGGTGCGACCTTTGCAGGTCAGGCAGTGCAAGCTTTCCTGATCTGCGGCCGCGGGGCCTTGTTTCGTGGCTTTGCGGGCTTGCGTAGGCGGCTGGTCGTCATGACTGTTTGCGTGTGGCGCTCTCGAGCGACTAATGTCTGGCAACGTGGGTCAATATGGTACTGTAGACTCGTCCAGATTACGTCCTCCTCGGGTCATTATCGGTGCACAAGCTTTTGGAGAGCCATGCGGCCATGCATGTGTGGTCATAATTTGCAGGTGATGGAGGGTCGTGAACAGGATGGAGAGTCGTGAACATCGTGAACATGTGCGAGCCAGGCTTCCTTCTTAACCGGCCACCGACTCGAGCTGACACTATCAGGATCAAGGAGCCTCAAGGAGCCTCGGAGCAACCCGTCAGGTGCCCGTCGTGATCTGACCCATCATTTCTTTCCTTTTCTTCACCCCTTCCCCTTGGCGCACAGTTCAATCCAATAATACAGCTGGAGGCTAATGTGTCCATTCCGCACATTGGTCGTTGAGGACTCGTTCTCCCAAACAAGAAAGAGCCTTCCCACAGGACACAGGACATTGCACAAGTGCTCATAATTCACTTGGCTGCAGAACAGTATGCCTTCGACGCGAAGAGTGTCGTGCACGCAAGACAAGGAGCGCAACAGCTTTTGTTCCAAATTCATAGTCATCATTCAGTCATTATGGATATCCCAACCGCTCTTGATAATAATACACCACCAGATTACAGATGCGATGTCGCCTTTTTCTCTTGCAGTTCCGCGAGTCCTCATGTGACCATCATGTCCGGCGGCACCGGCGTATCCCTCCGGCTGCCTGTCTCTGGGTTGAACAGGTCCACCGACCCGAGCCGGTCGACGCTCCTCCTGGCTACCACCCCCTCGCCACCCTTTCTCGCCAGCGTCGGCGTCTTCAGGTCCATATCTCCATCACCGGGTGTCACGGCTCGACTGTCTGACACGACACTGCTCGAGTCGGCCATCTCGACATCCTCACACTCATCAAACGTCTCCACGCTAGGCGTCGGCAGATCCTCCATCAAACACTGCGCCCCCCGCGACGGTATCGTGATCTGGGGCGGCGGCTCCGAAGCGGCCTTGGCCTCCACGGCCCTCATTGCCGCCATGGCACCGCCCACTTCCTCGTCGCCGTCCTCGCCCTGCCCTATCGTCCACACCCATCTCCGTTTCTTCTCCTTCTTTCTCCGCTTACGGACACCTCCAGGTCCAGACGGTGACAGTGCTGTCGGCGTTGTGGCTACGAGTCCGGCCATGCGCCGACGCATCTCCTCGAAAGGTCCTGGCGTTTGACCTCCGTCGCGCGTCTCGTCGCTTGTGAAGGCGAGGGCAAGGTCGAGAACCGTGTCTGGATCCTGGCCGGGGAGGGCGGGGGACCGAGGTGAAATGTCATCGATGAGCAGGTCAATGTGTGACTTGGTGTACTTGTTCGTGATAATGGTCTGTTCAATGGGGCTATTGTAGGCCACGCGACGAGCAGCTTTCTCCTGGAGCCGGAGAGACTGCCGCCTAGGCGACATTGGGGTTTGTGCTGTGGGCGGTGGCAATGGTGAGTTTCGGAGAATGCTGTGAAGGGACCGAGGGTGCGAGTAAGGAGGCTTGAGCCATGGTGCGGATGAGCCGGAGAGGGTGGCTCGCCTGCGGGGCGTCCGCGGCTCGATCTGTGTGGTGATTGCGGTGATGGAGAGACTCGGTGCCTCTGTTGTTCCGAAGGTGAAGACCTTGGGGTCAGTGAGCTCGACGGGCCCAGCCGACAGTGGAGGCGTCGCCGTCATGATGCTGGGGAAGAAGGCCTCCATGGCGGATGGCGAAGCGGGATTCGCCGTCAGAGGCGTCTCGGGATAGGAAGCAGCATACGGGGTTTGGATACGTCGCTGGTGATCCTTGAGATCACTCATGCCAGTGTGAATGTGGAGCTGGGGTGTCTGGTGAGTATTGATGGCAGTGACGGGCGTCGAGCGCTCGATGGCGGTGACATAGACATTGGACAGTGTGTTGAAGGCCGTCGGAGACTTGGGATCCACGACAGCGAGCGTCTTGGATGATCTCGGCTTGGGGCCTGTGGCAGGCTTGATACTGAGGGAGAGTTTCGGCCTCCGCGAGGCGGGCGCCATCGATGTCGACATGGCTCCTGCTCTGTGCCCTTGGTTTGGCCTCGTGAGCTGTTAGACGATGTGTAGAGCACGGCAAGCAACTTTGACTGATGGCTGCCTCTCTGTCTTGACCTGGACCGGCAGACGAGACAAGGTGCAACAGGCACGTCGCCACTCGGGCCTGACAAATGTGTGTGTGTGTGTGTGTGTGTGTGAGTTGCGTTGGTTCAGACAAACGAGAAGATAATAGGAGAGCGGTGGGGTGAGGAGAGACGGCGGCTATAGTTCATATATGAACGCAACGAGGAACACAGGCCCAACATGGTGGTCAGCAACTGAGGGAGCGAGGCCTTCCATGTCAGGCCGGGGCCTGGCCTTGAAGCGCCGCGTTGCTAGCCCGCATATGCATGCAGTGTGACAAGAGGCATGGCACAGGGTCTGCAGACAGATAGACGCGGGCGGGTCTGGGAAACAAACGAAACGGAAGACACTGTCCTGGTGGTGATGGTTCCGTGGCTCGCATGAGCACACACGAAGGAGGGGCGATTCGACGCGTGGTTGGCTATTTCGGGCGTCGCGAAGTCGTGGGAATCGAGGCGCAAGCGCCGAATGGGCCCCTGAACCCTGCCGACATGGCTTTGTGACGCCCAATCGCTGGGATGCGGGGATTATCGAGTCGACAACAGAGACTGGTATGCGGCGTCTAAGAAGCCTTTGACAGTGGTTTTTGGCTTTGCTGGCTTCACCGCATCTCGAAGGATTCACGTCCGTCGTCGCTCGTGATCAAGAGGAATCGGCGAGATCTTGATGGTCACGATGGGTAGGATAGACATGATGGATCAAGTCTCGCGAGTGTCGGCCGTCGACTGTGCTGGGGTGTCGAGTCAGGGAGGTAGGGCCCTACCCGAGCGAATGGAGCATTGTGGCGAGGGCAGGGAAAGGATCGGAAAGTAAGTTTGAAGGCTCGTCGTTCATTATCGGCTGTCCAAGCCCTCGGGTCCGTGATCCAAGACAGAGTGGTGAAAGAAATGAGACGATCCTACTGTGCCATGCCGCGCCAGGGATGGGGGGGGAATGGGAAAATTGGAGGATGCGAGGATGCGAAGATGCGAGAGAGGAGCTGAAGGATCTCCTCCTCCTGCTGGGCCAAGGTGGGGGGCTTTCCCGCCAGAGACGCGAGAGCCGCGGCGCCCAACTGTTCCAACCGCCGCTGGCCGAATGGTCGATGGCGCCCTGGGCGCTGGCCGCTGGCCGCCCGTGCCCCCACCTGGTCAGAATGCTGCAATCAACTTTCTTTCCAGGCTGAGTCTTACCAGCTGGGCGCTCAAGCCAGTCGGTATCCTGCTTTGACCACCTCGTCCGCGGATACCGAGGTGTAAAATCCCTTGAAAGATCCCACCGTCAAGTGATAATGGAAGAAGCCAATAATTCGGCCCAGGTCATCCCATATAGCAGAGCCGCGGCTCCCGTCAGGGATGATCGAAACGTTCGGAGGCGACTCATTCTGCCCAAGGTATACCCAGTCGTAGACGACGTACTCCAATTCGGCTTCTCGCGGGTGAGTCTTCTCACTACCGCGATTATGTATCTTCCAACCTTTGGCCATTACGAGGCCTTCCATGGCACCCGTTTGAGGACTGTTGAAGAAAACACTTTGCATCATATCGATCTCGTCGTTCATGTCTTCTCCAAGCAGTGTGGTGAATGGAGGGACTGGCTCACCCTCCTGTTCAAAGGCTTCGTTGACGAATTCGACTTGAGGCTGAAGCTGTATGAGTGAGATATCTGTGAAGCTAAGCTCTGCCACGGCCCTGCCGACTACCCGCTGGTCTCCAGACGACAAAGTCTGGTGAACAGTCTCGGTTTCGGCTATGCCGTGGGATGCGCCGGTCATGAACTTGTCGTCAGCACCGTTTTTAACTAGCACACCAGAAGAAGTAGAGTAGAAGTCCCTCCTGCTGGCGTCATCAAAGGCAAAAATGGAGATGAGGACGCCAGGGCGAAGGACGTCATAAGCTGTGTCATCCACAATACTTTGTTCAGCATTCGGCATCTTTTGGCGCAGGGCTTTGCGATCTCTCATATCTGGTCGGCATAGATCCTTCTCAAACAGGTACATCGTCCAGCACTTCGCGATGCGCCCGGGCAGTCGGGCCCAGATTGACTTAACGTCAACACTATCCTCTAGTACGACGTGGAACTTTCTTTCTGCGTCAAGGATGAACTCAATAACTGCAAGTTCTGGGACGCAAGTGAGAATGGCGCGGGTGGCGGTGTCAGCAAGGCTGCGAAAGGCTTGGGTCTTGAAAGACATGAACCTCGCATCGATGTCCTCACAGATTCGGATGCTCATGTTGCCAGTGGTCGTCTTGGGGAACATGACATCCTTGCCATTGCCCATCTCGTCACCGATTGTAATAGGTAACCCCGCAATAGTGAGCGGCCAAGGGGTTTCTGGTAGTTCTTTCACTGTGAAGTGAAGATAAATCCGATTACCGCCCACGAGAATGCTCACTGTGTTAGGGAAGATCTCAGAGAGCACTCGGCGGACGTCGGCGTCGATTTTGACATTATGATCCCGGAGGTCGAAGGGAAGCTTCAGATGACGTGTATGCCATGAAGGCGCGGCATGTGTCAACACGGACGTGGCTTGCAAGGAAAGATGTCGGCCAGAGTCCGGCTCAACATTCGGCGAGAGCGTGGCGAGTGACTTGCTCTTTGCTGTTGAAGTGCTTCCTGGGTCTATTTCTCGCTTCCTGGGCGACGGCGTGGTGCGAGGGGCATTTTCTTGCCCTTGGGCTTTTGGCGGCGACCGCTCAGCCATGATTGACGCCGGTATGGGTATGGTGCTACGAAAAACAGCAGGTTAATACGCAATAATAGCATCCATGAGTCTGACTTGATATAGGTAGAATGATTACGTTTTTTTGAAATACCTTGAGTACTTCTTTCCAAAGTGGTGTTGATGTGCCTGTAGGTAGGTATGTGTGTGAAGGCTGCGATTTATGTCCCTTGGAGAAGAATGAGTGTCTCCACAAAGCGCAGGCAGGCGACTGGAAACTTTCAAAGGGAAGGCACCAAAGGATCCTGGGTACCTTATTCAGGGAAGTGCCTTAGGCCGGGTAATTACGGTGCCTAGAGGGGTGAACAGAGTTGTTCAGTAGGGTGCTTACTGCTTGGTCCTGGTATGACGATTGATAGAGGGGCAAGGTTCTTGCCATAGATGCAAAGCAGTAGCCCCCCCCCCCCCCCCCCCCCCGGGGCTTGTTGTTTGCTCGTGAATATTGGGCTGTAAGGTAGATAGCTAAGCTAGGCTGCTTTTGTGTGATGGCCTTGGTAGTAGAAGGTTTACCGTGCCTTGAAGGCACAAAACAGGTCATAATCTTCATGGCCGCCCTCACGTCCTGGTGTTCCCACCCTTATGGCCAGGGCACCAGATCAAGCTTTTCCAAGCCCTGGGTATCTCCAATAGCTTGTGTTGACTAGGTATATATAGACATGGCAAGGTAGGTAATTCTATGATGGACACACGACTGTTGATGACTGTTTTATCCTGATAGGTAAACTAATCACGTGTAAGACGTTCTCTCGCCTACCTCCCACCACCTCAGTTTACTGGGCCTCGCCACCATCACTTTCGGCGACACTGTCCTCAATTCCATCCACGTCAACAGCAACACCTGCTCAATAGCAATCATCTTTTCCGCCGGGCAACATGTGCGCAGCTACGACCAAAAGCTCTCGCTGGGCTTCTCCTCATCATACCGTCACACAATTTCCCATCACCAATGCTGACGGGACAATCCTTCCAGTGGCAATACAGGCTAACATGACCGCCGAGCAGCTTGACGCTTACGTGACTCATTTTCGAATTCGAGAAATTACGCACCAACTAACCCTGCCTGACGTCCTGGTAACAAGGACCGCCGAACCAGGCTGGCGCCGGGAGCACTCGCCCGCCCCAGAATATGACACAGCGGGCCGTCGCACGAATACACGCCTCCAGCGGCGTCGTCGAGCCCTTGAAGCAGAACGGCACCGCTGCATCGAGGAGGCCGTCGCCAGGATTCCGTCGTATCAACTACCGCATGACTATCGCCGTCCATCGGGCTTCGCTGACCGCATATACATCCCGCAAGCCGACTTTCCTGCCGTCAACTTCATCGGGCAGATCCTTGGGCCCAGAGGGGCCACCCTCAAGGCCATGCAAGAGCGTGCCGGAGTGAATCTGGCCATTCGAGGCAAAGGGTCTGTCAAGGAAGGGCGGGGCAGGTCAAAGCTGAGAGGGGGCGCTTCTGACGATTCCAGCCAGCCACTCCACGTTCTCGTCACCGCAATCACACAGCGGAAAGTGGACGAAGGGAAGAGACTGATCCAGGAGGTCATTACTAATGCAGTATCTACACCCGAGTGGCTGAATGAGCATAAGAAGCAGCAACTGCGGGACCTGGCCATGGCCAACGGCACCTTTCGAGATGATGAAGGCCGCGCCGATGCGAGGGCACAAGATCAGGTCTCTCTCAATCCCACCAGAAGCCTCATGAGGGTCGAAAGCAGTCTTGATGCTGAGTTCGAAGGCGAATATGCTAGGCTGATGGAGGACATTCTTGGTCCTAGGGAAGGGTACACTGACACACAGGAGCGGAGCATGGTGACTTTGCCACCCTGGAGGGTAGACCGACTTCGCGCAAAGACAACTTGAGATTATTGACTGGTAGTGCTAACATGAAGCAGGTTCATCGTGTAAACTTGGCCTTTTTGTGCTTGACGTACTGACTCGATCACAGTAGTGCAAGGCTTGCTATATGCACTTTACCTCGTGATGAATTTGATTGAGACCAAACAATGACGTTCTGATTTTGTCCCCGGCGTTTGTCCGACTCTGTACGATGCCTGTTCGCTATCGGAAGACGTTTTGAAGCCTTCTGTAGTCAGGCTTGACAACACGAGCTCAGGACCATGGTGGTATTTATGCGACTCCGGCAGCTGCTGCCAGTGGGAGAGCCTTCGAGGACAGACTGGTAATGGAAACACGAGTTCCCGTTCGCGTTGAGAAAAGATCCTGAGACTTGGTGCTGTTCTGTGATGCATACATACCTAGGTAGGTAACTAAGGATTACAAAACTTAGGTCAAACCCTCCAGTCAAAGATCGAGGGATAGAAAGCCTATGGCGTGGCGCACACCGCCGCATGTGGAACATATATAGAGATACCTACATCAACCCACATAAGGGGTCAGATCTATTCTATGTTCATGGCAGGAGATTTGTTACTCTAATGGTGCCTGCCAGCGCCGAGCACCCTGCCGACAGACCTGGATCGCCCCTCCAGGCACCACCGGGGCAGCTAAAGCATTTGTGTTAGCCTAAATGCATCATCATCAAATACCAAGCATGGCCGATCTATAATACTTAATGATGTAATGAAATTGATGATCATGGTGGAAATACTATAGACTATATAACTATCATGCCTAAATAGTCATGATCTAAAAAGGGGCACGAGAATATTCCTCTCTCGACACTATCATGTAGAATCGAGTCATATACCCAGATAACGCTTTAAGGGGCACATCACCAGCTGCTCCGTGGCATGCTCGCCATGTGGAGTTTTACTTCGACTTGCGTGATCGCAACGTCGAGATCGACATCAAAATCCACGACTGGCCATGTTTGGGGCAGAGGGAGCCCGAGAGCCCTACCCGACAAATCCGGCCATCCCTGACAGTCCCGATGGCTCCTCCATATGAGGTGAATCGAGATGAGTCACCGGAGTCTTCGATAATCAGCCTTTGAGGGAGTTCTACGCTTTTGTGTCCACAGACGAGCTGGTCAAGGCAGGCTACCGGCTAGCTTGGGTGTTCAGTCGATAAGTCGGTAAGTATTGGTTTGTAAGGGACGGCAGATGTCCATCTGTGGCAATAAATATGATGAAAGCCATATTCGGTGAACCTGCATTAATTTGACCGAGTTTCTCAATTTTTAAGATCCCGAATAAATCTCGGCTGCCATCACCCTGATGACGATTCGTTGACCCGAGTGTTGACCTTTGCATCAGACCCCTGAGTGATCTTGGCATCGTTTCCGCCGCCCGTTGACGACGTGTCGCTCCGCACAGCAGTCTCTTCAGTCGCAGCACGATCCTTGCCAGCACTGTACGAAGCACGGTCAGCAAAGGGACGTCGGTCTTAGTAGATGTAGGTATGGGGATTTCCGCTCACCTTTTGCGCTTGATGTAAATGTTGAGTACATGCGTCGACGCGATCAGCGCAAGCGCACATCCGAGACAGAAACCGAACCCCTTGGGGTATCGCGGTGCCTCTACCGTCGGGAACGTCAGCAGCGGCGTCCACGCCGTCGAGGACTGCGCAATGATGGTGATGATGACCAGCGTGAAGGATCTCTCCTCAGGCGAGTCGCGCAGCAGGGTGTTCACCCAGCCGTGAAACACGCTCGACAGGGCGTTTGACCAGTACATGGTCGAAAAGGCGAACCACAGCGCCGCCTCGGGGACTTTCCAGACCACCAAAATGATCAGCCCGACAGCGTTGAATCCTGAAGCAAAGGTGATGGCCCACGCCGGCCCGAGAACCAGGTCGGATGCGAAGCACGCCACGAGGTTGTACAGGATACCCAGCGCCGGGGCGATCGTGCCGAGTTCGTTGATCTTGGAGGGCGAGTACCTCTGCAGACTTTTGATCCAGAGCAGGAAGCTTCCCGTACTCTTGTGGATGCCCGCGTTCCAGAAGAGGACGTCGACCAGGATGACGGTCCAGAATTGGGGGCTGAGGAAGATCTTCTTGAGGTGTCCGAATTTGAAGGTGCCGTGCGTGACGTGGCCGGCTCTCTCGAGCCTCTTCTTGGCGACTTCAATGTCCTTGCCGTTGAGAACCCATCGATTGGGCTGGTCGATCGTGCCTGGGAGGAGGAAGTAGCCGAGTATCCCGACCGGAAAGGTAATCAGCGCGCAGATGATGTACATCCATCGCCAGCCGGCGAGGCCGTTGACACCTTCGAGGCGTGCCGATGCTCCTGCGGCGACTAATCCCGCGGTCAGCGTGCCCAGGTTGAGACCTGTGTAGAACAGGCCCCCACGACGGGCGATTTCGTGGCCACGGTACCAGGATCCTGCCGGTGATATCAGTGGTTTGACGCCGCCAGTTACGATCATGAGGACCTACCAAAGACATAATGCATGGCTGGGAAGAATGCCGCCTGTTTGCGACTTTGTCAGTCCGACACTGTAGCGAGAACACAAGCGCCCTTCAGCCTACCTCGAAGAACCCGACGAAGAACCTATACGCGGCCATCTCTCCGAACGACGTTGCCCGGTATTGCAGCAGGGTGAAAACACCCCACATGATGTCCATGGCAGGGATGGTCCAGTACATCGGGATATAAGTGAACAGAAACATAAAGGGGATCATGCCGACAACTGCTCCCACAGTATACATGGTCTGCAGCTGCACAAGCTCGTTTCCAAAGAATCCAAGATCCTCCTTCATGCCGGCGACGTAGGCATTGTCTGTCAACGGCGCATAAGCAAGTCGTGCGCTCTAGACTCGAGTATTGGACGCACTCACTCAAGTTGGCCTGGTCAATGTACTTGACCCAATAGGCTAGGACCGCGTAGGGGACGACCAGCAGGTCCAGCTTGATGATGAATTTGCGCTCTTCAGGGGTATCATCATCGGAGTACCACTGGATCTTCCACCACTGTTTCCTCGTCACTGTCGACTCGATCATCTTGTCAATTATCGAAGCAAGGCTTCTTTGTCTGTCGGAATATCGATGCACTGAACAAGACAAAGGCGAGATCGGCCGGGTCGGGGTGGGCTTAAGAACACATGGGTCCGAAGCAATGAACCACGCCTCGTGTATGATTCCTGCTTCACATAACTGCCGCTCTAGAATTGGAGATTCTGTATTGCGTGCGCCCTGATCGGCCTGTCGTCATGGATGGCTCTTACTCTTTTCTGGGCTCATTTTGCGATATCCGACAACTCGCCTCCGTGTCCTGGGATCTCGGTGGGTATGATGCGCGATAGCTCGTTCCCGGAAGCTCGACACTTTGGGAAACCATTGAGTGGATGCCATGGACTCGCAGGCCCGATATATGGACTATTTTGAAGCACGCTCCGGTCACTTCGACATGTTATTGGCCCTTGACCGAACCAGATGCCAGTTTCATAACCCCTTATTGGGCTTCCAGAGTTGACGTGCTGCTGTACTGCATCCTGCCTTGCCTCTGGTCGACTCGCGCGACTCAGGACCGGCAGCCGCCAAGTCGGAACTTCGGCCGACGTTTATCTTTCAACGAACTTTGGTGAGGGGAGTCGGGGGTGATCCGACGTGTGGCGCCGACAACCTCGTGGTTGGGACAGATCGCGACGACAATGGAGACAATCACGTCATGGCCAGGTCGGAGAATCCTCGCTGTAACACCACGAGTTCAATGTGATATAGATGGGCGATGCATGCTTTCATTGACATCCATGTAACTAAGATGCAGACACACGAATGTACGAAATATGACAGACCAGGTGCAACTCCGAATTGCCATCGTCGGCGCAGGCATTGCCGGTCTCACGGCTGCCATTGCGCTGCAGAGATATGTCAACATTGACGTGCATGTCTATGAGCGTGCAACGGAGCTGCGTGAGATTGGAGCTACCATCGCACTTGGACCAAATGGTCTTAAGACGTTGGAGAGGCTCGGGGTCAGCGACGTACTCGACGATTCTATTGCGTTCCGCAACAAGTCGGGCCGCCCTATGATCTATCAGTAGGTGCCCCCCCCCCCCCCCTGAGCCAAGAATTCGGAGGTATGGCGCATCATGCTGATTTCCCAAAGGCATTACCAAACAAATGAAACTGTGTCTGCTGACCTTCATGTTGGAAAGGTCGAAGACAGACACAGGACAGCCCGCTTCTATCGCCCTCACCTCCAGCGAGCGCTACTGAACCATATAGAACCAGGACGTCTTCATCTCAGCAAGTCCTTTTCCTCGATATCGCGCGACAACTCTTCTCAAGGCCTCATTGTCACATTCACAGACGGCACTAGCATTGCGACAGACATTCTCCTCGGCGCAGACGGAATCCACTCCCCTGTCCGCCAGGCATTTGTGCCAACGTCGGCCGCAAGATGGACAGGCTACCTCACCTTCCGCTCCGTCTTCCCACGCTCGCACGTGCAACACATCTCGGGCCTGCCTGATGAGGCAGTCCACATCTGGGGTCCTGATCGCTCTCTCTTCTTGTCGCCCTTAGCCCAGGACCTCTTCACCATCGTTGGCTCCCAGCAAAGCGACCCGGAGGCACCCGATGCGCCGTACAAGGACTCGCTGTGGAATTCGGATGGCAGCGTAGACACATTGCGCGACCTGTACAAAGACTGGAGCCCCCTCGCGCGCGCGGTCATCGATGCGACGCCGTACACCAAGATCTACCCTAACACGGCGGCCAAGGAGTTGGACTCGTGGGTCTTGGGGGCTGGTCGGGTTTCTCTGGTAGGCGACGCGGCACACGCGCATGGCGGAGCCTTTGCGGCAGGCGGGAGTCTGGCGATCGACGACGCATGGGCATTTGCGCAGGCTGTCCTACACGTTTTCCCGGAGACGCAGCGAATCTGCAAGCCCGTGTCCGACGAGGACGTGGCCCGCGCTCTGCGCCTGTACGAGCGGACGCGGAAGGAACACACTGACCGAGTGCAGAGGACGGTTCAGCAGCGGAACGGGGCCCTCGTCAGCCTGATAGATCAGAAAGAGACGGACGCGGAGCTGCGGACGAGAATGCAGAGCCGCAGGGACTTGGTATGGATTCATGAGCATGATGTGGAACGGGCTTTCTTGCAGGCTGTGGCGGCGGAGACGCAGCGCGAGACTTCAAGGTTGTAGAGGTTGCCTTGCGATGAGTGAGAGTCCCCACCTCCCATGGCCTAGTCGTTATACCAAACTCCGTACTCTTGCCCTCTCAAGTCGCACATGTCGCGCAACTCTTTCTCTCTTCCTAGTAGGATGCTGATAAAGACGCGCATCGAGGAGCTCGAATCCGGCTCTGAGTGCACGGGCGAATCGGGCTCGCCCCAGCTGAAGCGGATAATCTGGCCCGGTTCGACAGTGGCTGCTTGGTATTTCGCCAAGATTACTGCGAGCTCAGCGTTGGGTTCGCTCAGGTCTGCACATTGACCCGTTGACAAGGGCGTCATGAGAGCGGCGTGCACGGCAGGATTCGTTACCATGGCCCTCGTCGATGGTCCGAGGATGGTGAAGGCATACTTTGAATGTGGAAGTTGGGGCGAGGGACAGCTGCAGTCGTACATGCGCCCGTCCATGTGCCATCTGGGAATGGTCCAGACAGGTGTAGGGAGCGTCATGCGGATGCAAAGCCAACAGGAGTGTGTAGCGTCAGGCATGCTATCATTTTGAGCGAGCGTCAGAAACTTGAGTAGGGTCTCCCGAAGAAGACTTTCATCGGCATTTGAGTTATTGGCGATGGCTGACGCTGCCCGCGTCGCAAGCGAGGACACATCGAGTGGGCCATAGAACCCACTGTCGCTGTCGTTATCGATCCGTGTGATGAGGCCGGATGGAAGAGGCTCATGAGAGAAAAGAGCAAGCGGCTCTGGCCGGATGGCGTGTTGCGCAGTCGCAGCACTGCCGTTTTGTAGGTCAAACGCCATGATGGCTGCTCGGTTTTAGTATATGACCTGAATGCGAGGCATGTGGAACAGATGGTGAATCTGAAAGCTTCGTGCCTGGGCTGTCCACTTACATAGGTACCGGGCAGCCTCCTTCAACAGCAGGGACCCTGGTCTTTGCAGGTCTCGTTGCATCAGCCCGTAGATAGACTCGTCGGCCAGGATCTGGCCGATCGGGATTGGTGTGTATCCAGGCAGCAGTCGCGCTCCATGACTCTTGGCTGGTGGCTTTAGTCCTCGGTACTCAATGCTAACGGCTAATTTTGCTTGCTACCTGAAGGCCATTTCTTTGATCTTGCAATCAGAGTGCAGATGATTGTGTGTTGATTTTGCGGTTTGCGGTCACCTTTGGGACTCGCTCATACGTGTTGGTGTGATGTAAAGAGTGGCCGCGATCACCACGTGTGCCAGACCCAGTGAGTTGCCAGCTCCTAAGCGCTTGGCGTGAGCCGGCAACACATGTGCACTGCAGCAGCTCGTCCGTGGACCTCTCACCCAACTCGCCTCACACGTCACACTCCATCCAACTCCCTCCATCACAGGAGAGTCCATCGATATGGACTTTCCCAAAAAGAACCCCCCAAAACGAAAAGATGACAGAATCATCCTTCATTTTGTATGCCAACCACCCATGTCCTCCATCACGCGCGCCTCTGCCATTCGAAACCCTGATCCACCCCTAGGACTATGACTGCTTCTACGCTTCCGTTCTTGAATCGCAGAATCCAGCCCTCAAATCCCTACCCCTCGGCGTGAAGCAAAAGTCGATCCTCGCCACCTGCAACTATGTCGCTCGCGCGCGCGGCGTGCGGAAACTCATGCGCATCTCCGCTGCTCGCAAGATCTGTCCCGATCTAGTCGTCGTCGAGGGCGAGGATCTGACGCCGTTTCGGGATGTGAGCAAATCGCTCTATGCATTCCTCAGGGGCCATTCATGGAGCGGCAAGGTCGAACGCTTGGGCCTGGACGAGGTCTTTATGGGTATGTGAGGGCCGACGGAGAGCGGCCATAAGTGTGACGCTGACCAGGCAAACAGACGTGACGGACATGATCAACTACAACATGTCGTGCCTCAACAAGCTGACTTTGGCTGACAGCTTCTTCTGCCTTTCAAAAACAGACCCAGAGAAAGGTTTCTCCTGTGACTTGACCAAAATGGCGGGCCGCGTCCACGGCGACCCCCCTCCTGCTGGGGAGCAGCAGCTCGAAAACCAGGCCTATGTGCGGCTCCTTCTGGGCTCGCATTTGGCCTGGTATCTCCGCACTAACATTGAAGAGAAATATGGCTTCACCTCCGCTTGTGGCGTGGCTACGAACAAGCTGCTGAGCAAGCTCGTAGGGAGCAAGAAGAAACCGCGGAATCAGACGACACTGTTGGCCCTGGAGAACGGCTCTGCAGTGGACTTCATGGACTCATATACGATACGGAAGATTCCTGGCATAGGCGGCAAGACAACTCAGCTCTTGGAGAAGAGGCTACTGAATTTTCACAAAGAGATCGACTCATACGAGACCGAGTCTGCACTGTCAGCGCAACAAGTTCGTCTTCACCCGGAAATCTACCCCGAAACACTTGAGACGTTACTCAGTGGCCCGGGATCGGAGCAGGGTATCGGCGTCCGCATCTGGAACCTGCTTCATGGTGTCGATTATACCGAGGTTAAAGATGCCAGAGACGTGCCTTCCCAGATCAGCATCGAGGATACGTACAGGCAGTTGGATTCGTTAGTCCAGATTGAGGAGGAGCTAAAAAAGCTCGCGATATCGTTGCTGAGGAGGATGCGGGTTGATCTTACGACGGTGAATGACGCATTAACACACAGTTCTTCTGTGGACCAAAACACTCTTGAAGGCCAAAGCCAGAGATGGATGGCACATCCCAGGACGCTTCGTCTGTCAATCCGTCTGTGGCCTGTCGAGGGTGAGAGGGACGATTGGAACTTCAGCCGGTCGTCCAAGTCCCAGCCCATGCCCAACTTTGTCTTCAACCTACAACTCCCTATCGAGTTCATCGCAGAACGGCTGGCGACGGAGACATTGTTTCCCATGCTCTTGAAGTTCCACCCTGAGAAGGGCTTCAAATGGAACCTCCAGTTGATCAATATTTGCGTTGCCAACATGGTGGAGAGTGGCAGTGAAACGGGCTCGGGCGTAGGGAGGGATATTTCGGCCATGTTCCGGAAGCAGGACGACGTATTGCGTCAGTGGAAGCTTGACACGACCATAATAGAGGACGAGATCGATGATTGCGTGGATGGGGAGTTGACCCAGGAGCTAGTGAACGATAGCGAGGAAGACCACACAGACGGGGAAGCATCTTGGGAGCATGGTGACGCAGAGCGATGCCAGCACTGTGGGCACAGGATACCTCCATTTGCGGCTTCAGCACATGCTCGTTACCATGAGATGGAAGATTAAGGACGCCGAAATGGACAATAGGTCTGCGAGGGCGATGCACGTATGCTAATGACATGATCAGCATGGTTGTTGCAATATGTGCTTGGAGATACCAGCTGCCTCATCTTCCAAAAGCAGGCATGCCATTCACAGCCACGTTTCTGCCGCTGACGTACCTTGCACTAAGCATTCGGTGGCGATTTATTCATGAAATCAGACTTGTCACATGGCATAGACTCCTTTGCTGCTTGGGTTCGGTGGGAGAATCATCAAATCATGGAGGAGAGGATGCGCTTCAGGAACGTGGAGACATAGATAATGCGGGGGAAGGACAAGGACATGGCTTGCCCCTGAACTGCAGCTCCATGTGAATTTGGTTGCAGAATGATCAACAAGGGAGGTAGAGCTATCAGCCGTCCTTACAGGAGGGAGACTATGTCAGGGTCCCAGTCGTGTTAGGAAACTGTGCAAATAAAAAAACCAACAAAGAAGAGTTTCAACGTACTGCCGAACCAGACGACTGGGACAAGATCAGGGGCCATGATCGTGCATAAGCGAATGTGACGAGCCGTCTGAGGCCAGCAAACCCATGGCTGCCAAAATCAAAGTCCACGAATAGGAATTTAAAACCAAGGAATCACAATCGGACATCAGATCAACCTGAAATACCTACTGAATGGATACACGCTGCTGTGCTGGAGTCACACAAGTGGAAGCTTCTGGGGTTGGGGGAAGAACAAGATGCTGTAAATTGTGGGCGACATCAAAGGGGCTTGTGTCTCGCGAGTTGCAACTTCCCGTCAAGTCCTGCCCTAGATGAAGTACCTGCCTGACGTGCCTGTTGGACGGGAAGTGAGGAAGGTACAAACATTGCTGGCGCGAACAGACTTGATCCCAACTTCCTTCCACTGATCGTCACGCCTGCCGTTGTCGGTGTTCGTCTTGTGATAATTCCTGTGGTGACTTGGATCACGGGCTAAGCGTTCACCACCATTGCGAGGATTCTCTGCGAATCCGGTTGTGCCTCTCTCAGTTCAAAGAGATCAAAGCCAAACGAAAGTCCTCATTCACTGCGTCAGGTCTCAGCGCGGGTCCCGTTGACAGCCCAGTGCAACCGGGTTCCCTACCGCCACATCGACCGATATCTTGCACAGTTTGGTCCATGTGTGCCTGACCATGCCGTCCTGACGACTCAGGCCGGTTGATGCCTCTCAAAGAGCCTTTGCGCAACGACGAAGCACGAGAAGTGCGAGTAACAGAAACAGCAACAGGTGCACACGGTCAAGTGTACCTGCAGCTTCGCCCACCACCTCACCTGTCCGCATTACCTTCATCCTGAAAACCTTCCCAAAGGTACTCGAAACCACTGCAGCCTCGGCCTTGGCCACTTCTACGGCCAGCATCTCAGTAACCTGGCTCTTTCCAGCAACCTCAACACCAAGACTGTCAAGACGTACCACTGCAAGCTCAAACGGCGTGCCTGTCCATCTAGTCCTGTCTCTCTGCCAGGCAACATCAGAAACAGCTCAAATTGTTGGCATTCCCTACTTGTGCCCCTTCTCGATCTTCGAGACAAGGTACCGACCGAACTGCTCGGAAGAACAGCATAATCGACATGGTCAACAACACACCCCGCGGCGGCAGGCGCCCTTTCCCGCCTCGCCGAGCCAAGACAGACCTAACAGGTTTCCTGACTCACGAGGAGAACCTGGCCCTCATCGCCCTCATAGGAGAAATAACCAGGAGAATGGACGTCCAGATCACCAATACCTTCATACCCATAATCCCTGTCAAGATCGACGATAAATCCTCTTCCAACACAGCATTTGGTGGCAAGGAAAACAGCACGGCCTCTCAGAATGGCAGCAGGCCCTCCGTACCGGGCTATTCGAAGACACAGCAGACCGCACTCAAGTCGTATAGCAATGCCCACGTGCCGGCTGCCGATCAGGTATCGGAAGTGGCCAGGAGAGACGCCCAACACGATGTCCAGGCCAAGGCCGGCAAGCCCCAGCATCAAGAGCTAAAAAAAGAACTCCTTGCCATATTCAGGAAATGGCAGACAAACCTCCACATACGCATAGAAGATGTTTTTGTCAAACCTTCCTCCGATGGCACCCCAGTCATGAGCCACCGCGGCGGGCGTGGCACAGGACGCGGAACGCGTGGCGGTCGAGGTGATCATGAGTCTCCTCGTGGTGGTTCACGGTCTGCTGGTGCCGCGCTCCGTGGCGGTACTCGAGGCGGCTTTCTTCGCCCTGTTGTGAGGCTCCCTGGTACGTTATTCGAGCGGACCTGAGCGGTACCATGTGCAAAGAAGCCATGCCCCCTCTTCCTTGAGGCGGGCGCAACTGACACAAATTGCAGGTCAGGCAATGACGCCTCCAGTCAATGATCTTGACCCCTATCTCAAGCGCCGGTTTCCACCCTCGTATACGTGGCTCAGCGGTCTCCCGTTGGACAAGCGCAAGCTTCTGCTTCATGCAACCATGCTTCTTGTGCTCTCGATGGAAACTTATTCTGCGTTCGCTCGGATTCTGATGCTTCATTTAGCATCGTCTCTAGGCCTCTCTATGGAGATTCTGTTTGAGGACGAAAATCGTGTTGCTCGGGGTTTAGGCTCAGCCGCCGCCGGTGTTGATCTTGACGCAATTCTACAGCAGAAAACCACTGAGAGTAAGAAATCTCGCAAATGGAAAGCTGCTGGTGCGGCTCTGATCGGCTCCGCCGGGGCCTTGGCCGCCCCTCTGGCCTCGGCCGGCATTAGTTGTGTCGAGGGTGGCATCAAGCTGAGCGACACAGCAGCCGCTGGCCTCCTTGGCTCCGTGGCCCACAACGGCATTGTTGTTGGTAACATGTTCGGCGTCTACGCTGGAAGAGACACGGGCAAAATGATCGATCAGTATGGAAAGGATTCTGCTGATTTTGCATTGTTGTCTCTGAACGGCACATCCGAGGAAGGATACCGCGACGCTAAGCTGGTCCCTCCTTCAAGTCGTCGTATGAAGTTTGCCATTGGTGTCAGTGGCTGGTTGACGAAAGAGGATGGCTTTGTTGTTCCTTTCCAGTGCTTTGGACCCCAAGCTGAGTGCTTTACTTTACGATACGAGGTTGAAAACCTTATGAGCTTAGGCACTGCGCTTGAACTGGTCATCAAAAGTGCCACTTGGGCAATGGTGAAGAAGGAGATGAACAGGCGCCATGGTAAGTCTTCCGCGCGTCTAACCTCAGACATGATGATACTAACAATTGCCAAGTCATGACATGTCTCAAGGACGGCAAATGGCCAGTCGGCTTGGTCCGAGTCAGCAAGATCCTCGACAATCCATGGTCCATCGGTATGGTGCGATGTGAGAAGGCGGGTATGGCCCTGGCCGAATGCATCGGACGCAAGACTCAGGGCGACCGACCCGTATCGTTGGTCGGGTACAGCCTGGGTGCCCGCGTCATCTACACTTGTCTCATGGCTCTGGCGGAGAGACGCCAATTCGGACTTGTCGAGTCGGTGGTCATCATTGGGGCTCCTGCACCATCTGACCCCGGTATCTGGTGCGCCATGAAGAGCGTCGTCAGCAGTAGGCTGATCAATATCTTTTCCGAAAACGACTATGTTCTCGGATTTCTCTACCGCACATCCAACACCCATTCTGGTGTTGCTGGCCTCGAGCCGGTGACGGGTGTGGAGGGCGTCGAAAACTTCAGTGTCAGCCGTGGCTTCAATGGACACTTCCGGTACCAGTTCATGGTGGGGTCCATCCTGAAGATGGTCGGTTGGGAAGACATCAACCATGCACAAGTGTCTCGGGATGAGGACATGCTGGCGAAGAAGGACAAGAAGTACAACAGAGACAAGATTATCAAGGCCGCACATCTCCCGCTCGACAAGAACGTGCGGCCAGTGCTCTCGACCAGACTGATGCCTCTCAAGACGGGTACGGGCAAGACAGTGCCGCTACGAAGCTCAGCTGGCCGCGAGAATGCCTTCAAGCTCGATCCTCGCATGACCAAGATTCAGATGCATGGCTAGAATGGCCAAGCAATCTGGGCCAGGCCAGAGAACATGATCATTCAGGGGTATCGAATACAAAAACCATGGGTCTAGGCAATCAACGAGGGGTCGCTAGGAGGGCAAGATACCGCAGCGTGGTTCGTTGCATGTTCCCTCTGCTGTGGAATTACATTAGCTATCACGTACCGAGTCGGTAGGGGTTTCTTGGCTCGGGGGGAAAGAAATCCACCCCCAATGTATGAGTAGCTACGCACCTTATTGAGCCTCTACGAGAGGAATGCATCACTTTCGCCATGATGTGGACACTGCTCATGCTGCCTCTTGCCCCTTCTTGCTCTGCACGACAAAGTACTTGCCCGCGGTTCGTTGCGCTGTGCCAAGGGGATCCCATGCCTCTGCCGTCTTCGCATCTTGATCCACAGCGGCCTTGTCGCCCTTGACACGCCTCGGCCGTTGTCGATGTCCGAAGGCGACCTCCTTGTCCAAGGCCGACCGCAGCTCTGCCAGCCCTACCGTCGCCGCCACCCGCCCGCGAGCCGTCTCGTCACGCAGAGCACGCAGCGGCTCGACACCCTCTGTGTCGACGGCCTGCACGTCGTGCACGAAGCGGAGGTGCGCGTGTAGCGCTGCCAGTAGGGCGGACGTGGCTTGAGGCGTCGCCGGCGCGGGCAGGGCCGAGAGACGGAGAAGATGGTTGAGCTTCTGGGGCGAGATCTCGTCGGACGTCGAGGGAGACGGGCTTGTCGCGAGTAGGGAGGCGATGGACCAGGTTGGTTTTGCCAGAATGGCGGCTGGGCTCTGCTTGCTCGGCGTGGTGGCTGTCGAGGAGAGGGCTCGTCTGGCGACTGGGCCCTGGAGCTTGCGCATGCGGACGCAGCGTGGGCATACAGGGCGCGCCATTGTGCTGAAGGAAGAGGTGGGTGTCGACGTGTGTAGGAGACGAGGGTCTCGAGTCGGCAGCGTTGTCGTGAGCGACGGAAGCTCGAAGCTCGAGTTGAAGGACGATGGACCAGGCTTGGATTAAATGGTAGGGAGAATGTATCTCCAGGCTCACAGCGAGGAAACGGGTACGGAATCCACACCAGCTCGGCTCAGCCGCCCGGGGGGTTGCGTGTTCCCTGTAGCGTCATAGCTCGAGACGCCAACATCTGACGCCTGAGACCCTGCTGCGACTTGGAACTAAAGTGCCTGACTTGCGACACCTCCAAGGCCCCCCCCTCCGTGCATACAACAACAACCTTGCCACCAAACCATCGATACACGCAGCGACTTCCTCCTCCTCCTGCAAAATCGACCATTTCAATCTCTTTATACACTCACGAAAGCCCAGACGAAACAGCCCAACATGGCCCAAGATCCCCGCGCCCTGCTGCAAAAGGTACGCTGTACCCCGATCACCCCGCGCTGCCCCGCCATAGCCGTCTCCAAAGCTGGCGAGGATGGGGGGGAGACAAGATGCTGACAACTCGCGACAACTAGGCAGACAAGCAGCTCTCGTCGGCTGGTGGTGGGTTCAGTTTCTTCGGCGGAAGGGAGGAGAAGTACCAGGATGCCGCCGAGCTGTACCTGCAGGCGGCCAACGCCTTCAAGATGGCCCGCCAGCGTAAGTGTTCCTTTTGCCCTCCCGACGAGATAAATGCCTTGCCTTCAATACGAGACCTGATATGACTGACACGACGTCTCAAAAACAAACAGCCCTCGAAGCCGGCCAGGCCTTTGAAAAAGCAGCGAGCATCCAGACGACGAACCTCAAGGAACCCGACGACGCAGCCAACACGCTCGTCGACGCCTTCAAGGCCTACCGCACCGTCGACGCGGCCGCGGCCGTGCGCTGCCTCGACGTGGCCATCAACCAGTACTGCACCAAGGGCAACTTCCGACGGGCGGCGGGCCACAAGGAGGCCCTCGGCGAGCTGTACGAGACGGAGCTCGGCGACACCAAGAAGGCGCTCGAGTGCTACGAGGCGGCGGCGGGCTGGTACGAGGGCGACAACGCGACGGCGCTCGCCAACAAGCTGCACCTCAAGGTCGGCGACGTGGCCGCGCTCGAGGCCGACTACTACAAGGCCATCGAGGCCTACGAGCGCGTCGCCTCCGCCTCCGTCTCCAACAATCTCATGAAGTACTCGGTCAAGGACTACTTCCTCAAGGCCGGCATCTGCCACCTCGCCACCGGCGACGCCGTCGCCGCCCGCCGCGCCATCGATAAGTACGCCGACCTCGACCCCTCGTTTGCCGGCCAGCGCGAGTTTGCTCTGCTCAACGACCTGCTCGCCGCCGTCGAAAAGTCCGACCAGGACGAGTTCACCGACAAGCTGTTCCAGTACGACCAGGTCTCCAAGCTCGACCGCTGGAAGACGACGTTGCTGGTGCGCGTCAAGGGCGCCATTGAGGAGCCCGAGGACGAGTTTGCTTGAGGTGCTTGCGGCCGAGTGGGGAATGAAGGCGAAGAAGGGGGGGCGGGGGCGTGTTCGTCCGACAGAAAGGTCATTGAGCAGTGAGACTGCTCTTGGAAGCGTCGTCTTTAGATACGGATATCAACTCAGAAAGGCACAATCATTAAACAATCCATATGCACAACAACACTCTCTCAAAATGAGTTTGATGCTCTCAGCAAGTCCCTGCCGCCGAGTCTGAGAGCTTGGCCAGAGCTCATCGGCAACACGCAACAGACCACGACACGTACGCAGAGCCTTGTCATTCCGCCGTACTATGATCTTAATGCTTCTTTTTCCAGACCTCTCTTGCTGCACACGCCAACGCTATGCTACAGTGGCAAGCTACTCTACGCGTGCTCCTCGCAAGCCAAGGGCCAAATGCGTTGGACAATCCAAATCATATGCCTGCGCCAAACTACCGCCTTCTCTCTCATGCTGTTTGCTGGTTTCATCCTGTGCCCAAAAAGGAAAGCAAAAGAATGTTGCTTCTCTTCATCGTCATGGAAACCTTTTCCGTACTCCCCTTGTCATGGTGTCCTGGCCTGTCGGCACCGTGCCGAATGAATTAAGCCTTTTTGTTGGTACAATCCTGGCGAAGAGACATGCGTGACACTCCTCCACGTCGTCGACATCCTCTTCCTATATATACACTGCGCAGGTCAGCGCAGAAGCAACACGCTCTGCAAAGGCTGCCGCGCCTCGCCGGGTCTCTCCATTTGTGACCTCTAGTTGGTCGGCGAGGTTCCCAGCATGCTCGGGACTTGCTTCCTGACCAGCCCCCGCGTGCCGCGTTGTTCCGGCCGCGGCACACCCTGGATGACGCGAGGTTCTCGCATGAGCGAAGTGTCCAGCCTGGCGGGGATCCTTGTAACAATAGACCGGTAGTCACCCGGAAACTTCGCACTGGGGACTGGCACAGACGCCGTGCGCCACATGTGATCCGACGTGTCGCTTAGGTACGTCGGAATCTTGAGTCGCGACGGCGGAGAAAAGGCAGATGAGTTGCTCGAGGCCCCATGGGACGACCGGATCGTGGACAGGCGCGATAGCCCAGATACTATTCCTGGACGACCCCGTGCCTTCTTGGCCATGATGATCTCATCGAAAAACCTGATGGACGCAGTGGTACCTGGCTTGGTCTCGCGTTCGTGGATGAATTCGTTGAAAGCTGTAGACGTTAGTTTCGTGGCACCGGTAAGCTGGGTGGGAACTCGCATTACCTTGTGTTTCACGCATCATGTTGGCATATTCCTGTTGATCGTACGGGAGACTCTTGATGAACCCGTCCATATCAAAGGCGTACATCCGACCGTTATTCTTCTGGTCCTTCGATGGCCGGCCGAGGTGCTTCCGATAGGTATAAAGCAGACTGGCGAGGCATCGCACAAAGGCAGCTCTGACCCTGTCAGGATAGAAGCTCTGGTGGCAGGCCAGAGAAACGCAGCCCAGACAGCGTCCGTGAGCGAAGGCGCTGCATCCAGAACACTTGTAGATCCCATCGCCCTCGGCACGATCGTCGCAGACGCTGCAGGAAGAAGAGAGCGCGCCTTCTTCCCAGTTGAAGCAGTGCCCCTCCACCCACACCGTCGTCTCCGTGTTGAACACGGGCTGGATCAGCATGTTAGGCATGATCGTCGACGCCGCGAGAGTCGATTGCGCGTATGTGGACGGAGCATAGCCTCCGCCATACGAGGACTGCGCGTACGGCTGCGAATCCACCGAAATTGCAGAGATGGACATGCTTGGAGCATGACCGTTACCGTTCAAAAACGGAATGCTGGGTCGGTGAAGAGGGCCATGCTTGTCAACGCCGAATGAAGAGCTGCGGCGGGTCTTTTCATCAAAGTTGCGGGATCGCTTCTCACGTAGCGTCGATGTCAATGCAAAGCCAGAGTCGCTTCTCGACACCGGCGTAGTGGGCATGGGCGGGAAGTTAATCGAGACAGGCGAGACAGATGAAGGCGGACTGGTCCTCGTTGACTTGCTCGTGCCGGGCCGGTCTGGTTTGTTCGGGTCGACTTTGGAATGTAGGAAAGCGTTAAAAATGGGCGGTTTCACTTCCGATGCGGGGCTCGGCTCGCCAAAGGTTGCAGAATTCTGGGCCACCCACTGAGCCAACGTGCTGGGTGAAGTGTGATCATTGTAGAGCGAAGGGTTCTCTGCGGAGAAGGCATCGTATGGGAATGATTCCATCGCATACGGCGGCGGGCCGGTGGCGACACCGTACCGCAATTTCGCCGGCGCCGCGACCTGCAAGAGCGCATGGAGCTTGCGTCGATGCTGTCGCGGGAGGCGGACCGGTTGCGACGTTGCATCAATGGTGTCCTTGTCAAGATCCACCAATACATAGTCATCCTCTGGAAGCTCAATACGTTCGTAGCGGCGCTCAACGCCAACGATGTACGGGCAAGGCGCCTCCAGAGCCGAGAGCAAGCGTGCCGGAAGAACAGGGATGAAGATGCTTGCCCATTTGAGTGGGTACAGCAGGTTGACAAGTGCATGGCATGCAAGATGGAGCATGCCAGTGTGCGATGAGAGGAAGATGATGCGTGACTCGGACATGGCGTACTCGAAGAGGGCCACAATGTTGTCGAGCGAGAGACACCGGAACAAGGCGTAAATATCGATAGTTCGAGAGCCGGGAATCTCGTTCACAGCATCTTGCCTGGCGTACAACTTGAGCTCTCGCACGCCTAATTCGACCTGAGTTTTGGAGCCCAAGGGGCTGAAGGCCTCGGTGCAAAGGTTGACGACGTATCGTTCCAAAGGCTGCCAGCGTCCCACCTTGGGAGAGCTTGGCGGAATTCGCAAAACACCGCCGTCCGTCATGGGAACAAGCACTGCCCTCAGCCAGTCCTTCCAAAAGGCCATCCGGGTAACATCGCGGCCAAGGATACCGTACGCTCGGGGGCTCCATAAACCGCTCTCGCCTGCTGTCAGGCCGTCGATTTTGGAAGCCGCTCCGTGGCGGAGCGGCCTCAGCATTTCCGTCATAAGACTGATCTTCTCCTCGACGGTGCTGATTTGGTCGTCCAGTGCGTCTCGTGCTGAGGATCCTGAAGGAACCGAAGGCAGCCTGGCTAGCAGTGATGAAAGGTTTGCGCGCTCAGCAGCCAGTCTGACGCCCAAGCTCGCCGCCAGCTCGCGCTCCTCGTTGGACATGTGCCTCTGCCGCCACTGCTCGCATCTTTTCTCAACCTCCTCCGCGACATCAGACGTCAGAGCCGTCCAAATGATGATGGTGATGCCGTAAATCTTAGAGTTGTCGTCAGAGGTCATGGTAAAGCCATGCCACGTGGAGCGGGGTCTGTCGTCAGAGGAGACGATTTGAATATCGTTCGGAAAGGCAAACATGGGGACATAATCAGGGAACTTGCCCCTTCGCGCGGTCTCTTCTGGAACATCCTTGGCTGGGTAGCGGTCGAGCAGGACAGGCTCGAAGCGTCGCTTCAGAGGGTGCATATTAGGGTCGGTGTTGAGAGGTTCGGGCGGTGGGATCACAGAGTTGTAGTTGCTCAAACGTCTCGTGGTGCGAATCGAGCCTACAACAAAGGCGTTAGTGAAAATGGCCCTGAACAGGATTGCGACGTCTCTGACTGACCTTGTCGAGGTATCGCGCCGGCGCCTGGCGTGTTCGCCCTCGGCGTGACAGGCTGCCTGCGCGAGCTGTTCATGTCCCTGAAGCTCATCTTGCGACGAATGCTGCCCTTGATGCTCCTCTCGAGGTTCCGAAGCGGGCTTCTCCTCCCACTCTGGTCACTATCCTCAGCCTTGATTCTCTCTGCACGCGGGTTGACCATTGGCGGCCTGGCTTGCAGCTTGGCGCCGGCGCTGAAGGTGAGGTCGTCGAGGAAGTTTTCACGTTCGGCGGCGAACTTGACCAAAGCGTCGTCAAAGTCGAAGCCATCCAGGAGACCGATGCCCGGTGCGGGCCCGACACCTTCGTTTGGAAGACCGTTGCCCTGGGCGTGAGCGGGGCGGATTGTGACGCTGCTGCGGTTGCTCTGGGTGTTGCCGTCGATTTCATCCAGGGTGTGAATGGAGAAGCGGCTGTTGGAGAGCCTGTTCGCCGAATTCTGCCTAGAATGGCGAGCATGGTGTCTCGGGGTGCCGGTGCCATTGGCATTCACGCCGTTTTCTTCTGGTGGCTGCTCGCCGTCTTCTGCGATCGAAGCGGCGACCTGAGAGCTCGATGGTAGGGGGTCATCGTAGGCTATCGTCTCGATACCGGCGATCCAGAAGTAATCGGCAAGAGGAGTAGTCGATGAGCTGTCCATGACATGACACTGGAGCCTCGCAGCTGCAACAGTTGACGGAGGGGTACTTCTGAGAAATCAGGGTGGACGACGGGGGATTTTTATCACCAGGGTCGCTCGCTCTCGTATCGAAATCGGAGCACGGTTGGTCGGGGACGGTGCCGGGACTGGGCACGACAGGGGGTAGCTGGGTTGAAGATGGAGTCGCGACGCAAGGTGGAATCAGGGCCGACGACTGAGTTTGTCTGGACGGGAAGCTCGTGCACAAAAAGGGAGAGATGCCAGCGCGAGAGGACTTGCCGGCGACCAGTGTCCGCCTGGTAAGATTGGCGGATTTGGGCTCGAATGGAAGTTCGGCGTGGTGAGAGCCCGTCCAGGGGTAAGGGTGGGAAGAATGGAGGTTCGCTCCGACCGGCCACCCAGCACGATGAGGGGTAGAGGAAGGGAATGAAGCGCTGTGGAATCGGCTCCCGTCGAGAGATTTGCCAGCGGGCGAGAATGAAGGGGATAGCTCGGTTAGAGTAGTTAAAGATGACAGGCCTCAATTTTTGGACTTGGGTCAGAAAGTCGGGAGCAAGATAGCGTGTTTATTCCTTCGTCGCCGTGGCTCGTCTCCTTGTGCCAACAACAACTGGCGCGTCTTTTCTGGCAACGTGCATGGGCTTAGGATGCAGACCCCCCTCCTAGGCTTCAAGCACGGCGCATGTGGATGTGGATTTGTAT